CCCCCTCCACCCTTACCTCCACACCTGCCCAATGGTTTGTGCCTCCCTTTTCCATGGGGCCACCATCTGCGGATCTCTCTCTTTCACACACACACACACACACACACACACACGCACACACACACACACCCCTCCACCCTTACCTCCACCCCTGCCGCATGTTTTTTTTTGTGCCTCCCTTTTCCATGGGGCCACCATCTGCAAATCTCTCTCTCTCTCTCTCTCTCTCTGACACACACACACACACACGCACACACACTCACACACACGCACACACACACACACGCACACACACACACTCTCACCCAGACACACACACACACACGGCCTAATTATGGTTTCGCCGCTTTCTTGTGTGTCTGTGCGTGTGTGTGCATGTGTGAGTGCCTTTCTGAGGTCTCATTTGCGTGTGTTGGTGCATGGGCGACCGCCGGGAGCAAAACTTTTGCCACGAGTGAATTGGCCGCCGAGAGCACATATTTGATCACCTGCCATTTAGCCAGTTCGATTTCCCTCTAGCCACAAATGCAAACATAACCGTGACATCCAAATGGATCCAGCAGGTGTGCCAGGATTCAATGCAAAGCAAGCCCCAGGTTGCACCGTTAAAACAACCAACTCACAACCATGGCTGCCAATTTCAGAGATCCAAGGGCCATGGTAGAAGGAGAACTGGAAACTTACAAAGTAGCAAGGCGCCCGTGGCCAAGGCGTTTTAGTATAATTGTGAGACATGAGCAAACAGGCGACGAGTTTGAATCCTGATAGATACAACCATGTTAGCGCCTAACCTGTTCTTCAAAGAAAACAACAGTGATACTCGTGGGATAAAAAAGAAGTTTTCAACCGTAGAGGAAGAAGAGAAAACCGAAACAGAAGCAGGGCAACTTTCAAAAATCTGGGGAATCAAAGCAGTTCAGCTTTTACCAGCCAGACACCAGTACCATCCATCATGTTCCTTGCTTGCAGAAGGGTGTCGTAGTATGCACACAGGCAGGAGCAAACACAACACCATGGAGATCAAGCATCCATGTATCTTGGATAAGTACCTTCAGAGCATCATGCACAATACTGAGCTGCTGCTTCGACAAATAACGAATGTATGGCTCCAACTCCTGCGCACCAGTATTGGACACCAAAAATGAGAGAAGTTTGACAAAGTCTGCTATGAAGGGATAAGAGAGGGGAAAGGATTGGGAATAGCATTTAGGGCAAACAGGAAGATGGGCGGGTTAGAGCCTCGGGAAGTCCACATAATTGTGACTAATATTATTCATTTACCTTCACATCATCAGTCGGTACTCGTAACGGAAATCAAAATCAACGAGTTCTTGTCCTGTTGCTCCACATGAGATTCCCGTTCCCGTTGAGCTCATCTTAAGACACCATCGTTATCTTCTAACAGATGTGCCGGCCCAGCCCACCCCCCCACCTGACAATGTCTTTCACTTGTACCCGACGCGCTGCGAGAGGCTGCACGTGCACATCATCATTTTTTTTTTCCTTTTTAATCGTCTGACAATATCTGGATTCGAACTTGGGTCTGCGTTTCAACAGTTCAGGGGTATACCAAGTTCGAATCCAGATACTGTCAGATGAACAGAATAACATCATTCTTACTTCCAGCTCATAAATGCTTATGCCCCGAATTTTCCCAAAGACAAATCTTTATCCAGAGCATAACAACAATGTGCAGCGCCCAAAATCACGTAATCCTAGCAGGAGATTGGAACACAACCCTTGACCCAGCTAGAGACAGGCTGTCATGCTCCCAAGGGGAAAGGGAAAATCAGCTCCAAACAGAGGCTCAAGCAATGCACATGTTAATAATGGAAAGGAATCCACTTGAACCCTTTAGAACACTCCACCCAGAGATAAACAGATTCACATATAGGAAAAGAAATAGAACCCCAGCACATTACCAATTCAGCCATGGACTTCTTCTTAGTTTCAGAATCCCTGAGAGGCTCTATACTTCACGTAGGTATAGGAAAACTACCCTACTCACAATGGACTAGACCAAAGCCCAATCTTCATAGAATTCATATTCGACCCCCGGTTACAAAAAGGGCCAGACTTCTTCAAGATCAGTAACTCCATACTCCATACCCGAGAAATGACAGAGGCAATAGTACAAGCATGCACCAATTCTGAAAACGTTGAAGCTGATTTCCCAACCCTTCTTGAAGATCAGTAACTCCATACTCCATATCCATATCTGCGAAATGAAAGAGGAAATAGTACAAGCATGCATCGATTCTGAAAAAGTTGAAGCTGATTTCCCAACCCTAACTTCCAACCTATCCAGAGCAGCATCCACAGAGTCAGGGAACCTAGCAGCAAAAAGAAATCAGAGAATAAAGGAACTAGAAGCAGCAGTCAGCATCACCGAATCTAACTTATGTAACCCCAGATCCACAGACTACGAAGAGTTACTAACTACAGCCAAATCAGGACTAGCTAACTGGAATGTGTGGAAAGTGAATGGTATGTCAGAATAAGAGAATGGGAAAAGGGTGAGAAAATGACAAAATTCTTCTTCCAGAAAATAAAGACACGAGGAAGGAACTCAACCATCAATCAACTCAGAAGTGAGGTCTAACATCCAACCCAACAAAGATGCTCTCCATAGCTGAATCCTTCTACAACGAGCTCTATGCCTCCAAGACAGAGTTCCCCACCCCTAGGGCAGTCCTTCAGGCTAAAGAAAAATTCAGCAAGCACTTAGATAAAACCATTTCACACACTCAGGCAGAAGAGCTAGACCAACCAATCACAAACGAAGAAATTAAAAAGGCCCTAGACTCCATGAAACCAGGGAAAAC